ATATAGTGCTGGAAGATGAGCCCTTCAGGTTGGAAGGCACTCAAAATACACTGGAGAAGAGCTGCCTCCTCAAAGTAGAGTTGACTGTGATGACACAAATGGAGTAAAGCTTTCAGGAACTTCATTTGCTGAGGGAGAAATAGCTGTAAACATCCATTAGTAATCAGAACAGAGAACAAAGTATGAATCTAGGAAAATTGGAAGTTGTCAAAAATGAAGTGAAATGGATAAAACATTGATATTTTAGGCATTAGTGAAATGGACTGGTATTGGCCATTTGAATCTGACAATCATATGGTTTACTATGCTAGGATTGACAAACTGAAGAGGAATGGTGTTGCATTCATTTTCAGAAAGAACATTTCTTGAAGTATAATACCATCTGTGATTAATATTCATATGCCTAGTTAATACCACTATTATTAAAATTGTGTAAACACCAATTGCTAAATAATAGTTATACTTTACCAACTAAACACCAACCACTAAATAAGTCATATTATTAATAGTTATATTAATAGTTAATTATTACTAGTTAATACCACTATTATTAAAGTTGTATAAATGCCAACCACTAAAGCCATTAATGAAGGATTCTTTGGGCAAAATATTGAATGATGCATTAAAAGATTGAAGGAATACAGAGTCACTGTACCAAAAGAAATGGTTGATATTCAACCATTTCAAGAGGTAGCATATAATCAAGACCCAGTGGTACCGAAGGAAGAAGTCCAAGGTGCACTGAAGGAACTGGCAAAGAACAAAGCACTGGAAATTGATGGAATACAAATTGAAATCTTTCAACAAATTAATGCAGCACTGGAGGCACTTAGTCATCTATGCCAATTGACTTGAAGAGATCCATATTTATGCCCATTCCAAAGAGAGATGACCCAAAGGAGTGTGGGATTCATCATACAGTATCATTACTATCACATGCAACTAAAATTTTGTTAAAGCCAATTCAAAAACGGCTGCAAAAGTACAATGACAAGGAATTGTAATGGTTCAAACTGGATTCTGATCAGGATGTAGAACAAGGGATATTATTGCTGATGTCAGACTAATCTTGGCTGAAAGCAGAGAACACCAGAAAGATGTTTACCTGTGCATTATTGACTACACAAAGACTTTTGACGCTATGGATCATGACAAGTTATGGACAACACTGCAGAGAATGAGTATTCTGGAACATTTAATTGCACTCAATAAGAACCTGTACATAGACTAAGAAGCAGGCATTAGAACAGAAAGGGGATGCCGAATGGTTTAAAATCAGGAAAGGTGTGTGCCAGGTGTGTTCTTTCACCTGTATGTTGAGCACATAGTCCAAGAAACTGGATTATATGAAGAAAAACATTGCATCAGGATTGGAGGAAGACTCATTAACAATCTGTGATATGCAGATGATACAACCTGCTCAAAGTGAAGAGGACTTAAAATACTGATGAAGATCAAAGTTCTTTATATTAAAAAAACAAAAATCCTCACCACTGGCTCAAAAAATAACATCCATATAAGTGGAGAAAAGATTTAAGCTATCAAAAACTTCATTTTGCTGGGATCAACCATCAACTCATGGAAGCAGCAGTCAAGAAATCAGAGTGTATTGCATTAGGCAAATCTGGTACACAAGACCTCTTTCCAGTGTTCAAGAGCAAAGATGTCAGTTTGAGGACTAAGGTGCACCTGACCCAAGCCATGGTATTTTCAATAGCCTCATATGCATGTGAAAGTTGGACAATGAATCCTTATTGTCTGTAGAAGAATTGATGCATTTGAGTTATGGTGTTGGAGAAAAATATTAAAAGTACAACTGAATGCTAGAAGAACAAACCAATCTGTGTTGGAAAAAATACCGCCAGAATGTTCCTTAAGAGCCAAAATGGCAAGACTGTCTCTCAGACGATGAACATATTACCAGGAGGGACCAGTCCCTGAAGCAGGACATCGTGATTGGTAAAATGGAGGGTCAGTGAAAAAGAGGCAGACCCCAACTAGACGGATTGGCATAGTGACTGCAGTAATAGTCTCAAGTGTAACATGGATTGTGAGATTGGTGCATAACTGGGCAGTATTTTGTTCTGTTATGCATAGAATTCTATGCAAAATACTGAATGATACAGAAAGCATCAAAGAGATGAGAGAAATACATAAGAGTCACTGAACCAAAAACAATTGGTCAGTGTTCAACTACTTCAAGAGGTAGCGTATGATCAAGAATAGATAGTATTAAAGGAAGAAGTATAAGCTGCACTGGGGAAACCAAGGCTCCAGAAATGGATGGAAATACAAATTGAAGTGTATCAAAAACGAATGCAGTGCTAGAGTCATTTACTTGTCTTTATCAAGAAATCTGGCCAACCTACTGAAGATCCGCATTTCAAAGAAAGGTGATCTAATGGATGCAGAACCAAAACACAGTATCATTAATATCACATGGAAGTAAACTTTTGCTCTGGTAACTCAAAAACGGTTGCAGGAATGCATCAATAAGGAACTGCCAAAAATTTAATATGGATTCAGAAGAACTGGAATGAGGGATATCACTGCTGACATCAGATGGATCTTGGTTGAATACAGTAGAATACCAGAAAGATGTTTATTTATACTTTATGCAAAGGTATTTGACTATGTGGATAACATTGTGATAAATAGGAACTCCAGAACACTTAATTGTACTCATGAGGAATGTGTACATAAATCAAGAGACAGTTGTTAGAAGAGAACAAGGAGATACTAAATGGTTCAAAATCCGGAAAGGTGTGTGTCAGGGTTGTATCCTTTCACCATACTTATTCAAACTGTTTGCTGAGCAAATAATCTGAGAAATTGGCTTATATGAAGAACATGGGATCAGGATTAGAGGAAGACTCATCAACAGCCTATGATATGCAGATGACACAACCTTACTTAGAGGAAGTGAAGAAGACTTGAAGTACTTTACTAATGACAAAGACTACAGTTTTCAGTATGGATTGTACCTCAATGTGAAAAAAGAAAATCCTCACCACTGGATCAATAAATAACAACATGGTAAATGGAGAAAATACTGAAGTTGTCAAAGACTTGGATCCACAATCAACACTCATGGGAGCAGCAGACAGTACATCAAACGACATGTTGCTTTGGGGAAATCTGCTGTACAAGACCTCTATAAAGTGTTCAAGAGCAAAGATGTCACTTTAAGGACTAAGGTAGATTTGACTTAAGCCATGGTATTTTCAATTGGTTCATAAGCATGTTAAAGTTGGATAACAAATAAAGACTGGAGAAGAGCTGATGTATTTGAAATTATGGTGGTGGAGACTGCCAGAACAACAAACAAATCTACATTGGAAGTATAGCCAGAATGTTCCTTAGAAGCCAGGATGGCAAGACTGTCTCTCAGACTTTGGACATGTTGTCAGGAGGGGCCAGGCCAATTCCTGGAGAAGGACATCATGCTTGGAAAAGTGGAGGGTTAGTTAAAAAGAGGAAGACCCCTAACAAGATGGAATGACACAGTGTCAGCAGGACTGGCCTCAAACGTAACAATTGTGAGGATGGTGCAGGTTTGGGCCGTGTTCGTTTTGCTGTGCGTAGGGTCACTATGAGTCTGAACCAACGAGAAAGCACCTAACATGCTCTAATACAAACCCTCATTCTCTGCTCTTGACTGGGAGCTCTTTGATGGCAGTGTGATGTTCGACTCTGCCTGATATCCCAGGACATCACACACAGTTGTTCCTTAATAATTTTTGCATCAATTTCAAAGAATCAGGATTCCTAGTTAAAGTATTTGTGAAAACAAAAACAATGGTATTATCCTGTGCTTTTTTTTACTTTATCATCAATCTCAGGCCTAAAATTAATGGAATTATAAAGAATTAAGTAGAGATTAGGCAAAGATTTATGTAAGAAATTCAATGCTACATTATTTAGAATAGCATAAAAATGAAAAATGTTTAATACAGGATTGGTTAAAAACATTTTAGAATGAGATGTCTCATAAACAGTGAAAATCTACAGAAATACAAACCCAGTTTTGTACACACACATACATATATATGTATGGTGGTGCTGTGGGTTAGGTGCTGGGATGTTAATCAAAAGACCAACAGTTTAAACCTACAAGCCGCCTCTCATGAGAAAGTTGAGATTGTCTGCTCCCATAAAGATTTACAGTCTTGGAAACCCTACTTAGGATTGTTAAGTTGGAATTGAATCGATGACCATGGGTTTATGTTTTTGTGTGTGTGTATGGCAAAATAGTTAAGGAGTAGACTACCAGCCAAAAGGCTGGAAATCTGAACCAACCCAACCCAGAGACACCTTAGAAGACAGGTGTAGTGAGTGACCTGGTTAAGAAAAGTCAAAGCCACTGAAACCCTTATGGAGCATTTCTACTCTGCACACATGGTTTGCCATGAACAGGAATGAACTCAATTGTAATGAACAACGTACACATGTAGAAAAAAGCTGGTAGGGAGATATGTTCAAGATTGTGGTACGATTACAGGTGACTGAATTTTCCTCAGTACTTTCCTATTTTCCACATTTCCTACATGGAACCTCCTGTTATTTGTATAACCAGGAAAAAACAAAGTTGGGAAAAGGAGGGATGGATAAAAAGTAGGACAGGTCCTCTGGTAGCTCTGTAGCTCCTCATCAGCTCTCTTTCCACAGGATTTTTCCCAATGGTCTTCATGCCCCTTGCTCTGAGGCCCGTGGAGACAATAAGGGACCCTCAGGAGTCTCTAGATGGAAAGGTAGGCAGATGAAAGGGCAGGTGCTCCCTGTTCGTGAGTCACTGAAGTCTCTCCTGGATTCTTCCTCGGGGATGGTTCTGGAGTTCTCTGTAAGTCACAGTAACCTTGAAGGGCACACTCACCTCACCTCTGCCCACAGACAGCTGCAGATAATAATTTCGATAGGATGGAATCTGGCACCAACATGCCAGAGCTCTGGTGGCAACAAAGGAAAACCCAAGCACCAGCTCTTTTCCAGTAAGAACTATATTTAATGGTTTAAAATGTCTGTACAAAACCAGCACCACTATGTGGTACTCCCAGTCCACTGGGGGATTTCCAAGGTATCTTCCAACACTATCTCTTCGGCCAGTTGTGCCTGAAACCCCTGTAAAGAACGTGTGAAAACAGGATTAGCCTTTTTAGTTTGGTCAACTGTCTGCTCTTTGTTGAGGTTCACACCAGGTTGTGAGCCCTAGTCATGCAGAACGGAGGGAGAAAGGCTTTGTGCCGGACTCACAGAACACAAAGCTAGGCAGCCAGGCTTCCCTGAGTGGGGCTAGGGCACGACTCACTGCCCACACAGGCTTGGCTGGGATGTTCAAGATCTGAAACTGCAGAGTTGGCTTCATAACACCAAACCTTGGGCCATGTCCTATGACCTCAGACTCTGCTTTAAGTACTAGGATCTCATGCTTTTTAATGAAAAAGTTCTTAAATAATAACTGCCCACATTTGCTTATTGAGGATAAGCACAGTGGGTAATCTGGGAAAAGCTAAGACCTATTTGCATGAAGGGGACCAGACCCCAGGAAACTGTATGGCAACAGGAAAGAATGAAGGACAACTGGAATCTAAGTCCTGTAATGCAGTGACAAGCTATGTGACAGGTGGCACTAGGCAAATTCATTCCCCGAATTTAAGTTTTCTGAATGACAGAGCAAGGGACCTCGAGCTGTGTTCTGAGCTACTGTCACCTGGCAGACACAGTCTGGCAGGGTGTGTCTCCCTAGACCATCATATGGGCGTGGGTCACATACCTGTCTGATTTGCCAGTTGGAAAAGACATGCTTTTGTTTCCAGCTGACTGTTTAGGCTTTTTGACTGCAAGACATTTCTGAAAAGATAAGAAGCCATTTAAACTTATGACAATGATAAGATACACAGGAAAATACACAAGGCTCAGGTGGCCAATCACAGACTCCAGTCCCACAGGTATAATGCTGCTTTCCTCGCCGCTGGCACTGATACCCACGTGGGCACATTTGTGGCTCAGGGCTGAAGTTCTCGTGGCAGCAAACACAAGAGAAATACCTTGTATAACCTCACACTGGCTTCGAAATGCCATTTTTTCCTCCCACTGCTGGGATCACTGATTTGGGCACTTGGGAAGAAATGAAGTGAGGGAAAAATACGTGGAAAGGACTCTTGGATGGACCCACCATGCTAGAGTCGCCTGGTCCTCTTACCTTGCCAGTTTGAGTCTGCTTGTTTGGATCAAATTGGGACGGCTTGGATTTGCTGTTTCCTGGTAGGTGAGACAGAGACACCAGTGAGGAGTTGAGGGATTCCCACACAGAGAGAAGAGGCTCCGCTGTGGGCCAGCCACATACATGGTAACTTCTCAGCCAGTCACCACTGTAACGGTGAGTCGTTAGTGACTGGTGTACACGAATAGACGATGTTCTAGATGATAAGGGAAACCTAGAGACCAGGTGTGCTTCTCAGGAAGTGAAGGGCAGAGGGCCAAAGCCTTAGCAACTTTCAGGTGCAGGCTTGTGAGCACCCAGTGGTGCCACTGCAGGTGAGGTGGGCTGCTCCTGCAGGAAGGATACTTGCTCTTTCTTCCAAAGGGACATGCTGCCAGGAAGCCTGTTATAGGGGCTAAGAAGTTACCTGAAGTCCCTTCAAAGAGGACTACTCTCAAAGATTAAGGAACCATGAGAACGGCACCTCATGGGCATCATAATTTTCCAACAAAACCTTTGTTGTGTGTGTGTGTGTGAGAGAGAGAGAGGAGAAAGAGAGATTGAGAGACACTGTTAATGGGCACAAGAAGCTATTGTGAGGAAGGATGGTACCACAGTCACAATGGATGACATCTTGCCAGACCCCTACAGCAGCTCCTAGGAGAGCCTGCTCCCACAGGGGAGGGGTGGCTTCTGTCTGCCATCACTGTTTCTTTGGTTTGCCCTTACTGTTCACTGTTACGTTTTCTCAGGCAGAGCTTGGTCAGGGCCTATGCCAGACTCTCCCTTCTCACCACTGCCTCCTTCCATCAGTGTGACCAGAACTTCCTCCTATGTTACCAGTTGCTTTCTCACCTGCAAAAGCCCTGAAATCCGACTTGCTGTAGTCATAAGGGGTGAATTCTTTTTCTGCTGGGTCTGGGTCCTTTGGCTTCTTGGAAATTTTGAGTCGTTTCTTCCCTTGTTTCTGTTCTGTGGTCTTTGGATCACTTACTGTCCGCTCTCTCTTTTTAGCAGCATTCTCTAGCTGTGTATTTAACACAGTGGAAGGAAGAAACAGGAAAGGCCATGAGAGGGGAGAACCCTGGCCATCTCCAACATCAGTACGAGACAGTGACTCAGCGGCCATGTGGTATGGAAGGGGCCTCAGTGATATGAGAGGATGGGGCGGGGATTCAGACCAGTTTTGGGACTGGAGGACAGTCACACTGATTGGAGATCCACATTGTTCTTTGGAAAGTGCTATCAGGCCATTTAAAAAAGAAAGAGGCTCCGAATTTCAGAGCACTCTGGGGGTGTTAGAGAACGTGTAGGCAGAGTGGGACACACAAGAAGCTTCCAGACTATAGGCTTTAATACTTTGTCTACTACTGTAGATAATAGGATGGCACATTTACCATCAACACAGAAGGAAGCTAGTTAAGAAAAATGACAACAAAAACTGTTTTGAGGAGAAAAGGCAGGCACTTTTCCTCTCAAAAAAGAAAAAAGCTAAAATCAGCTGTGAAGTAGAAAGCCTTCATCTGAAGTACAGGGCCAGGCCTCCTCAGATGCCATAAGGCAATCCTGACTAGTACCAGGTGCCCAGGTTCTAAAAGGACAAAACAGGAGAGGCTCCTTACCACGGCCTGTTGTCGGACAGACACAGCCTGTTCCACGGTGGCCCTGTACTCTTCCTTTGCCTGCTCCAGGGCAGCTGCAAGAGAGAACACAACTGTCATGGAGGTGCTGAAATCAGGGCCAAGTCTCCACTCTTCTTGTTCCTCGATTCACCAGTCAACAAGCTCTTCCTTCACTGGCTTCGGGCACCACTCTTGTTCCCCTCTACCTCTCAGATGCTCCTGGTCACCTTTGCCAATTCCTCCCCACAGCCCTAATCTCACTGGGGCAGACTGCCAAAGAGCTCAAGCTCAGCTACTCTTCTCATCCTCACCCTCCTAATCTGACACCTCTAGCAGGCCCCTTGCTCATGAACCCAGACCAGCAGATCAAACTGCAATGAGACATCATACTGAAGATGTTTAACAGGGATCTCAACCTTAACACATGTCAAGAACCAAAATGATTTCGTACTTATATCTTCGACAGCCTCATTCAACTGAAGGCAATCTTTTCTAGTTGCTCAAGACAAAACCTTCTTGTGTCCATGGCTGCTTCCTTGCTCTCACAAACCACATCCACCTCATCATCAAATGTTGATGGCTTCACTTGGAGGATACATCCAAAATTGGAAGACTTTTAATCCAAGCCACCGTTATTTTGGCTTAAAGATGTCTCCTAACTGGTCTTCCTGCCCTCACTCTCAACCCAGTGGAAAGAGTGATCTAAAACATGTTCTATTTTCATAACTGGATAGCCAAACACACACCAATTTTTACATGTGTAATTCGCCGACAGTCACTTCCCATCCACATTAAACACACTGGCCCTTAAGGCTTCCTATCTAATCTTTGCAGTAGCTGTTGTCAATCTGACCCCATAGAGATAGTTCTTAAAAGAGTACACCACTCCAGGCAGACATTCTTTACTGATTAAGCTCACTTACTGTTTGCCTTACAGATGACTTCAGGAGATAGTTTTGGTTTGAGGTTTAAAGATTATCTCAGGGCTCGCCTAGTGTTAATGGCTCCCAAAAGTCTGGATTCAATGAGAATTGTGGAAAACTGGACACAAGCTCCTGTCTTCACAGTGGGTGCTACCTGTGCTCCTCCCTCATCTCCCACTCTGCTTCAGCCACACTGGCCTCCTGGCAATTCCGAGAGCATGCCCAGCAAAATTCCACTGCTGGGCCTGGAACTTGATGGGCCATCATCCCTAGGTAACGGCAGCCCTCTGCTCAGCTGTCATGTTTATTAGACTACTTTCTCTGGCCACCATCTGTGGACGGCCACTACGACCCCCTGCCCCCATCCTAAGCACTCCCCATTTCTTTCTCTGCGTAGTACCAACTACCATCAGCTACAACAGACATCTGTTTAGTGCCCACCATCCCTCAAGAGAAGATGAGCGCCACAGGGCAGGGGCGTGTCTGCTTTGCTCACTCTCACACTCCACTGAATGACTGAACAAACTGTGACACAGAACAGCTGATCTTTGGCAAGCACACTGATGGCTGACTGAATCTACCAGAAAGTGAGTAATACCTGTTTGCTCAGCTGCTTTCTTCTTTGCAGTTTCTTTAGATTCTTTTTGTACTTGTACCTGGCTTGCCAGCTTCCAACGATTGCTAATCTATAATGAAAACAAAATTTAAAACCTCCCAAACTCAGTTACCTAAAAAAACCTTATTTAAATAAGGTGGTTCAGGGTGTACGAACCTAACTATGTACAATCTTAGTCATAAAATCCAAATCTAAGGTCATGGAGAAACTAAACTAATCTAATCTCATGCTAGTTTTTGCTATAAAATACATATTGTGAAGGACTCAGTACAATAGTTGTTGTTAAGTGTCGTCGAGTCGGTTCTGACCCATAGCGACCCTGTACAGGGTTGCTGAGGCTGTAAATCTTTATGGAAGCAGAAAGCCTCATCTTTCTCCCACGGAGCGACTGGTAGTTTCGAACTGCTGACCTTAAGGTTCGCAGCCTGATTCATAACCACTACGCTACCAGAGCTCCTATGCTACCACTAAGCTACCAGTACAATAGTTTTGTAGGTTTATTCCATCCTTCAATAGCCCTGAGGCAAAGAAGTTATCATCACTCTCCTCCAGAGATGAGAAGACAAGTTCAGAGAGGTTATAAAACTTGCCCAAGGGCACACATGATGGAGCTGGGGTTTGAGCCAGGGCTTTTCCAAATCAAGCATGGTGAGGGATGAGTACTTAGCCAATGTGTCACACCAGGGAAAGAGGAGGCACCAGCCCTCCTGACTGTCCATTTCTAGAAACACCACGACCCTCAGGTCCATCAAGTACCGGCCTGCTTCTGGTTGACTAATTAAAGAGAGTGCTATGGGAAGAGCTCTGGTAGTTACTGCTTATGAGTTGGGCTGCTAACCTCAGGGTCAGCAGTTTGAAACTTTCTCCCCGGGAGAAAGATGAGGCTTTCTGCTCCCGTAAACATTCACAGCCTCGGAAACCCTACTCAGGGTCGCTATGAGTTGGAACCAAGTCCAGAGCACATAACCACCATGAGCATATATGATCAGAGTATGTCCTTCTTGTAGTGAGGAATAGGGCCATTACCTCATGGGAACTTGGGGGACAGGTGTTCTTGTTCATAGAACAAACCAAATGATACTAAGACAGTGTTTTAAGAGGTAAGCTGTTACTGTTAAGAGTCTTAAAGAGACACATGTTATACACTAATACCTGTGCATCTTATTCTGCAAATGAAACTTCAATTAAACAGACCACCAGAATACTGCTGCTTAAATGGTTTCCAAACACTTTTGAGACTATAATTAATAAAAGTTCTGGACCCTTTCCCTGGAAAAACTGCACAGTTAGAAAATGCTCTGTGCTCACACTCTGAGAGGCTCACAGCTGGAAGTCCCACAGCTGGAAGTAGACTTGTCTAAAATGTACACTGGGGGGCCAATCATTTAAGTCCCCTTTCTTCCTTCAAGGGTGTTATCGATTAAATTGTGTCCCCCAAAACATGTGGTGAAATTCTAAACCCTATACCTGGGAGTGGAGTCCTGGTGTGGTGCTGTAAGCAATGGACTGCTAACCTTAACATCAGTGGCTCAAACTTACCAGCCGCTCCTAAAAACCCTATCCAAGATCACTATGGCACTAACAACATACCTGGGGGAAAGGTTTTCTTGTTATGCTAATGAGTCATAGCAATATAGGGTGTGTGTTAGACCTATTCACCTTTGAGACATAAAAAGGGATTGTCAGCCATCCGGCTAATCTTAACAACCCTACAGAGTAGTGTAGAATGCCCCATAGGGTTTCTAAGGCTGTAAATCTTTTACCATTTCCAAGGAACTCCAGAAGAATGTTAGAAAATCTGAGATAAGAATCTCCCCCCAGAGCCTACGGAAATGACTACTTCTAAAAGGTTGTTGCTAAGTGCTGGTGAGTCAATTCTGACTTACAGGGATCCTGGATAGGATTTCCATTGACCTGTGGTTAACAATCCAGTGCTTATCCTATAGCACCACACCAGGTCTCCTTTAAAAGGTTAGCCATTGAAATTCTTATGAATAGCAGCAAAACACTGTTTGATATAGTGCCAGAAGATGAGCCCTCTCAGGTTGCAAGGCACTCAAAATATGACTGGGGAAGAGCTACCTCCTCAAAGTAGAGTTGACTTTAATGATGTACATAAAGCAAAATTTCTAGGATCTTCATCTGCTGATGGGACACAATTCAAACTGAGAAGAAACCGCTCCAAACATTCATAAATAATCAGAACATGGAATGTACAAAATGTCGCTATTGTTAAGTGCCACTGAGTCTGAATTTAGGAAAACTGAAAGTCATTAAAAAATAAAATGCAGCCCATACAGACCAATATCCTAGGCAGTAGTGAGCTACAATGGACTGGTGTTGGCCATTTTGAATCACACAATCATAAAGTTTACTATACTATGACAAATCATAAAGTTTACTATAGAATGACAAATTGAAGATGAACAATAACTCGTTTATCATCAAAAAAAGCATTTCAATATTTATCCTGAGTACAATGCTGTCTGTGATAATATCCATACACCTAAAAGGAAACTGCACATGAAGAACCTATAAAGAAACCAAGAGGCAGATGTTCGAACAGGACGAGGGGATACAACCAGGAAAGTTGTGCACTAGGGTTGTATTCTTTCACCATACTTATTCAATCTGTATGCTGAGCAAATAATCCAAGAACTGGATTATGTGAAAAAGAGTGTGGCACCATGACTGGAGAAAGACCCATTAACAACCAGCGATATGCAGATGAACACTATTTTGCTTGCTGAAAGCAAAGAAAACTTATGAAGATCAAAGACTGAAGTCTTTAGTATGGATTACACCTCCATATTAAAAAAAAAAAAATCAAAAACAAAAATCCTCACAACTGGATTAATAAATAAGGGAAGAAAATATTTAAGTCGTCAAAGACTTCATTTTGCTTGTATCACAATCAACACTCATGGAAGCAGCAGTTGACAAATCAAATGATGCATTACACAGGACAAATGTGCAGCACAATACCTCCTTAAAGTGTTAAAGAAAAAGAACAGTTTGAGGATTAAGGTACACCTGACCCAAACCATAATATTTTCAATCACTTCATATAAATGTAAAAGTTAGACAGTGACAAGGGAAGACCAGAGAAGAAACAATGCATTTGAATAATGGTGTTGAGAAGAATATTAAAAGGAGCATGGACTGCCAGAAGAACAAACAAATCTGTGTTGGAAGACATACATCCAGAATGCTCTCTAGAAGCCAAGATGGTGAGACTTGTCTCATGTACTTTGGGCATGCAGTCAGGAGGTACCAGTCCCTGGAGAAGGACGTCCATCAAGCTTAGCAAAGTGGAAGGTCAGAGAACAAGAGGAAGACTCTCAATGAGATGGATTCGCACAGTCATGGCAACAATGAGCTCATATGAAACACCGGTGAGGATGATGCAAGATCGGGCACAGTTCTGCTATGTTGTGCACAGATCACTAGGAGTTGGAGCCGACTGGACGGCACCTAACGTTACAACAAAACAAGCAAGATCAGTTAATACCACTATTATTCAAATTTACAAACCAACAAATAAAGCCAATGAGGAAATTGAAGAAATTAACTAACATATTTGATAGTCTGAAATTGATCAAAGACATAATCAAGAGGCACTGATCATTATTGGTGACTGGAATGCAAAAGTAGGAAACAATAAGGAATGATTGTTGTTGTTAAGTGCTGTCGAGTCAATTCTGATCCATAAGGAACCTGTATAGGTTTTCCAAGGAGCAGCTGGTGAGCTTGAACCACCGACCTTGCATTTCAAACAACTTTGCAGTCTGATGCATTAGCCCACAGCGCCACACCAGGACTCCCTAAGGCATGATTGTTGTTGGTATTTGCTGTGGAGTCAGTTCCAACTCAGAGTGACCCTGTACAGGGTTTCTGAGGCTGTAAATCTTTACGGAACAGAAAGCCTCATCTTTCTCCCACAGAATAGCTGGTAGTCTCAAACTGCTGACCCTGAGGTTAGCAGCCTGATTCGTAACCACTATGCTACCAGAGCTCCTTAAGGAATGATTTTTTTTGTTGTTAGGTGCCATCGAGTCGGTACCAACTCATAGCAACCTTAAGAACAGCAGAACGAAACACTGCCTGATCCTGGGTCAATCTCACTACTGTTGCCACGCTTGAGTCCACTGATGCTGCCACTTGGCCAATCCATCTCGTTGGGGGTCTTCCTCTTTTTCTCTGACCCTCCACCTTACCAAACATGATATTATTCTCCAGCGACTGGTCTCTCCTGACAGTATATCTGAAGTATGAGTGACAGTATATCTGAAGTATGAGAGACCAAGTTTGGCCATCTTAGCTTCCAAGGAGAACTCTCGCTGCGCTTTTTCCAAAACGGATCTACTGGTTCTTTTGGCAGCCCATGGCACTTTCAATATTCTCCTCTAACACCATAACTCAAAAGCATCAGTTCTTCTACGGCCTTCCTTATTCACCATCCAGTTTTTGCATGCATATGAGGTTACTGAAAATGCCATGGCTTGGGCCAGGCACACCTTACTCCTCAAGCTGACATCTTTGCTCTTCAACACTTAAAAAAGGTCTTGTGCAGCAGATTTGCCTAAGGAATGATTAGTAGTTAGAAAAATATGGCTTTGATGATAGAAATGATGCTGGCTATCAGGTAACAGAAATTTGCAAGAATAAGGACTTATTCTTTGTAGGCACCTTTTTTCAGTAACATAAACGGCAATTATATACATGGACCTCAAATTGACTATATCTGTGGGGATACACGATGGAGAAGACCAGTATTATCAGGCAAAACAAGGCCAGGGGCCCACTGTGAAACACACCATCAAATGCTATGCAATTTCAGGCTGAACCTGAAGAAAACTCAATCAAGCCCAAAAGAGCTGGATTTAGAAACCATCTCAGAAAAAATCTAATGTATTAGACACTAATGAAAGAAGATCAGAAGGGTTGTGGGATGACATCAGAACATCCTGTAGGAAATGAAGAAGAGGAAACAAAGACCAAAATGGATTATGAGAAGAGACTGAAACTTGTTCTTGAACATAGAGGATTGATGCATTTGAATTATGGTGTTGGCAAAGAATATGGAAGAGTACCATTGATTGTCAAAACAAATCTGTGTTGGAGTAAGTAGGGTGTTCCTCAGAAGAGAGGATTATGCTGTCCTTCTCCAGGGGCTGGTCCTTCCTGATCATGTTCAAAGTACCATGGATTTACTTGATAAGGCTTTTGTATCCAACATCTTATTAACCCCCACCAAGTGATTGGGCAAGACCGAATGCTTTAAAATTAGGAAAGGTGTGTGTGACAGGGTTGTATTCTTTCACCATATTTACTCAGCCGGTATGCTGAGCAAATATGATAAGCTGGGTTATATGAAGAAAACCTGGCATCAGGATTGGAGAAGACTCATTAACAACCTGCGATATGCAGATGATATAACCTTCATTGCTGAAAGTGAAAAGGACTTACAATACTTACTGATGAAGATCAAAGAGGCACATCTCAATGTAAAGAAAACAAAAATCCTCACCACTGGACCAATACATAACATCCATGTAAATGGAGAAAAGTTAGAAGTTGCAAAGGACTTCATTTTTCTTGGATCAATCATCAACACTCACGAAAGCAGCAGTCAAGATATCGTATTGCATTAGGCAAATCTGCTGCACAAGACCTTTTTAAAGTGTTGAAAAACAAAGATGTCAGCTTGAAGATTAAGGTGTGCCTAACCCAAGCCATGAAATTTTCAATAACCTCATATACATGCAAAAGCTGGACAGTGAACAAGGAAGACAGTAGAAGAATTAATGCTTTTGAGTTACGGTGTTGGAGGAGAATATTGAAAGTGCCATGGGCTGCCAAAAGAACCAACAGATGTGTATTGGTAGAAGTGCAGCCAGAGTGCTCCATGGAGGCCAGGATGGCCACACTTTTTCTCTCATACTTCGGACATATTGTCAGAAGGGACCAGTCGCTGGAGAAGGATATCATGTTTTGGTAAGGTGGAGAGTCAGAGAAAAAGAGGAAGAAGCCCAGAGACATTGATTGGCAAAGTGGCAGCATCAATGGGTTCAAGCATGACAACAATTGTGAGGTTGGCCGAGGACTGGGCAGTGTTTCATTCTGTTGTGATAAGGTCACTATGAGTCGGTACCGACTCGATGGCACCTAACAACAACTATGCAAATAAGGCATACAGGACTCTAATGCTAGGATTGGTTAGTTTTACCATTTTGCTAGAAACAGGTTTAAAAGGAGCCATCTCAGGCGCAGGAACAGATGACCCCAGGATCATCAACAAAGAAAAATCTATCACATAATTCACAATAAAACATTTAAAAAACAGAAAGAAGAATCATGAGTGGAGCATGAGCGGCAGCAGAAGGGGTAGCATGGAGAGACAGATCAGCCACAGACTTTCCAGCCCATGGACCAAGTAAACATGAATGCCTATGGTTTGTGGAATGTGCTCTTCTATTTACAGACGGGCTAAAGGAGCTTTCTAACACTTGCCTGAGCAGGGTCAAGGGGCCACATGGCTCAGAGGCCAAAGACAAACAAGACCGAAGCATGCTGCAGAACAGTGTCCTGACTGGAGAACTGCTGTATCCTGAGTTGTTTCTGATCCTGAATCGTACCTTGTTCACACCCCTAATAAAGTCCATAATCGTAAGTATTGTCTTTTATGTGGCCACTACAATAATTAGCAAACTCAGATGTAAAGCAGAGTGCTATAGAAGGGATGGTTGGTGTCAGAAGTCGGCAAAGAAGGTAGAAGGGTAGCGCCAAGTCTGACCTCTGGTTTAAAGTTCGATTCTCCTTCCCCCTTGTGAAGCCAAAGGAAGGCAGACCTGGCCTCTCTGCCGTTTTTGCAGCACCTAACACCACAACCCTCTTCAACTGTAGGAAAATAAATTTCTGTTCACAGGAATACTAAGTATTTCTGTGACACAAAGAAACTAAGACAAAAGGACTTTGAAAACTCTTAGAAAAGGTGACAAATCCACTTACTTCATATATTTTAGATGATGGGTCAAACTTGCCTGCCTGCGAGATGTGGGCACGGTGTTCGAGTGAGGGCAGATACTGAAGAAAATGGAAATATGCATATTAGATGCTGTAAAAAATGGAATCTGGTCTTCCTGGCTTTATTTTAGAAGCGCAACTCAAAGTCTCAACCTGGAGAACCAAGGCAGCTGACATACAACATACTCAGAGGCCTCCTCTCTCCAGATTGCCTGCCTTCTTTTCCAGGTCACAGGCAGCCAGGCCTGCAAAAATCAGCTCTTAATACACAGGATTATCACTCACCATTCGAAATGGATTCTCGAAGGACTCCAGTATGCTCTGGGCCTTTTTCTGTGCAACTGTTAATGGACAGTTTCCATTTTCTTCAGCACTTGGTTCCTGTAAGGGCAGAGTAAACTGAAAATGATAAGTTGTATTCAAGAAGAGGAGAGAGTCCTAATTATTGTAATAGTAGGCTGATTTTTCTTAAGCATTTGCACTGATGTTTCAGGGACTATAACAGTACATATTGCAGTGCCTAGAGAGGAGACCCTGGGTGGCACAGTTAAGTGCTTGACCACCAGGCAAATAGTTGGTGGTTGAAACCCATCCAGAGGCACCTTGGAAGACAGACCCGGCAACTGAAAGGTCACAGCCTTGAAAACTCTATGGAGCAATCCTACTCTGTACACATGGGGAGTTTACTCAATGGTAACTAACACCAGCAAACTATCTGTTATGGACTGAACTATGTCTCCCCAAGCACGTGTTGTAAATCCTAACCTCTATGCCTGTGGCTCAGGGACTTCTGGTGTGGCGCTATAAGATCAGCACTGGACTGCAAACCACAGGTTGGCAGTTCAAACTCAACCAGCTGCTTCTTGGAAACCCTACACAGGGTCGCTATGAGTCAGAACCGACACCACAGCACTTAACAATAACAACAAATGTCTATGCTAATGGTTTTAAGCTGTTATGTCACTTTGAGGGTTCACATCAACTTTGTATTTTCTTACAAATTACTAAAGCCTGACCCACTCTGGATTTATGCAATTAAGTTACAAAAAAAAGTTAAATCCCAAGTAGCACATTTTATAGGTGCCATCTTATCTTGCTGGTCTGAGCTCAGCACCCTAGCATGATGCAATGGCTGTAAGTTGGGATCCTACTGTTTGCAGTACCACCAGCTTCTTTTCAGTTGAAAATATGCTAAGCTCAATACCAAGACGGTATTTTGAGTTCTGTGATTTTTCCTCTCAATCACGTTGGTATCCTCTGTGGAGTGAGTGTTTTCTCTGAGCATTCTTCTTTTATTATTAGCATTTCAGTGTTCGTCAGTCCTGACCAACAAATGCACCCTAGGCTTGCTCCCTTCTGTAAGGGTCCCCTGGTTCAAATCACTGGCAGAAAAGAGAAGCCATTTAATAGGAAAAGCAGCCTAGAAGGCCTCATCATGACTTAACGTGTAGTTCAGGCCCACTTAGCCACACAGGCCTCCAGGCTGGCCAGAATCACTAACTAGCATGATTTAGCCTTCTTTCTGGGATGGAAAACAAGTTTCTATTCACTTACTGTTGCCTGCAAACTTGCTTTTCACTGTCTCTACTGAGTCAAAACACAGAAAAATGCCCTTCAACGATTTCTCTTCTTCACTCAGGCAAATAGCTATGATGGCGCCAGCAGGAAGGTAAGTGCAGCCCACTCTCCAGTCATCAAAGACCCTCACTTCTGAGAGGAACTGTCCTGATTGCACTGCACATGAAAAGTCCTACTTCTGTGTTAGCTGAGCCCACAACCTCATCCCTGCTATGCATGAGTACCTATTTGAGGCATCAGCTTTTTTTTTTTTCTTCTTCTGAGATTTCTTCATCACCTACCCAGAATAACAAACAGCATCTTGCCAAGCTGACTCATGCCTTTTCCTACCACTGATGGGCTGGACTTTTGGCTGTAGTCTCAGAGGTAGCAGACAGGTTGTGTGATAAACCCAATAAATCCCTGGGAACCTACATCAACTCAGTGTCTATAGCACTTACATTAAATATGGTGATAACAGCAGAAGCAATCAGGCACTTGGTGTCCAGTGAGGAGGACTCCTCTTCTTTATGGTCAGGGAAGAGGCTTGCCTGTTTCTGAACTGGCACAGGGCCTATATAGGTAGAGAAGTTAGTAAGGGCAAAGCTGGCTAGATTTTATACCAGGCAGTTTCCCCAGAATCCTCCAGATATTCTAGAAGGCCCTCGACCTTACCGCTAGTTGGGATGATAAGACTACCATCTGGAGGGGCATGGGAGCAGTCATGAGGTCCAAAAAGAGTATTTTCCAACCTCTGCAGCAAAAACAAAAGCCACAGGCTAGCATGAAAAGTTTTCAGGTCCGTCAGTAGCTTTTCCCTACAGTGTTAGGTACTGGCCTGTCAGAGACGTCTACTTTGCAGTGGCTTTTATACGTATCTTCCCCAAAAGAAGAGCAGCAAACACAACAGCCTACCTCGGGATTGGGCTGTGATCCACTTTTTTTCACTCCAGTTGAAACTTCAGACTGAAAAGGAAAAGCAAAGAGAATCTGAGGAGTTAGTTACCTCAATATGACAACACCACATCTTCTCCAACACTAGACAGTATCTTTCACTAAACTCCTATTCTCTTTCATAAGTGTTGCTCAGGACCCAGAGATTCTCTTCCTTCCCTTCAACACGTATTTTGTTGTTGTTGTTGTTAAGTGCTGTTGAGTTGGTTCTGATTCATAGCAACCTTGTATAGGGTCCAAGGAGTGGCAGCTAGGTTTGAACTGCTGACCTTATGGTTCACAGTCCAGTGCTGATCCTACAGTACCACATCAAGAGTCCTTAACCCGTATAGTGCCTGGTATATGTAGGTGCTCAATAATCATTTGCTAAAGAGAATAATAAAGCCCTTTATTATGAGTAAGCTTAATACAGGATTCCTCCTTAGTAACTAGGGTTCACCTCCTTGAAGAACTGTGGACCTATGAAATTTTAAGACAAAAATTGCAAATTGCAAATATGTCTATCTTTATATTCTCTTCTTTTTCACCTAATGAAGGCTGATTTTAAGTCTCCCTAAATCAATAACCTTGCAAACATCATGAACCATACTACTGAGTCAACACCTTTAAAACTGTTACAATAAAACACAAACATGAACATGCAAGTTTATTTTACCATGTTGTATTTCCTGCATAAGAATGCATAAGTATAGACACAAGCTAGCAAACTTGCACCTGGTGTCCACATATGAAGTTCCTGAGTGGGGCAAATGGGTAACATGTTTGACAGTTAATTGAAAGGTTGGAGGTTTGAGTCCACCCAGAGGCACACTGGAAAGAAATCCTGATGAAATCCTCAAAAACAGTCATTATAAGCCCAATGGAGCACAGTTCTACTTTGATACACATGGGGTCAACATGTGTTAGAATCAAAATGATGGCCACTAGATGGCATTCCTAGTGGTGGACTTTTCCAGTACCCTAGTCTTTAAATTTATATATATATATAGACTTCGAGCAGCGAGAACTTCGAGCAGCGAGAACTTCGAGCAGCGAGACGTGTAGGAGGAGTTCCAATAACAACAACATGGAATATTGGGCCACAAGGCTGTTTAACTGCAAGCTGTGGAAAGCCTCATCTCTCTCACGTGGAGGGCCTGGAGGATTTGAGCTGCTGACC